GCCTCTTTCATCAAGAGGACTAAAAAATGGCTTCATAATAAATAGTACTATGTGATAACACTAACATTTCCTGTAACTTATCACGTGATAACACTAACATTTTCTGTAACTTATAACTATGCACAGTTACCTTTCTAATAAGCCATAACTTTGTGAGGGATAGTATTTCTTAGATTCAAAAGAAATCAAAAAGCTGTATTGTCAGTATGTCAGCTGGCTTCCAGTGGTCTTTGTCTCCTGATTATGTAGTTCCCCTTCTACTCTATTGTTCCAAGGTTGATCTGCATGACTGCTGCAATAGTATACAAATGAAGGTGTGTCACTTTTGAAACTAGGTGCTAAAAAATAAAATATCATGGCCTTTATTTTCATTGTTCTTTATCTAGTCACTTGTTTTGGAGACCCTACCAAACCTAAATGTTGAGAAATTGAATTCTTATCAAGAGGCCTGTTAAGTGAGCATTGAAGTCTGCCCTCCAATTCAAAATCACTCATCTAAACTGTTGAGAGATTCCTGTCCTCAGAAACTAGGGGATAAGTAAATTTTGATAGCTGTGTGACAATAATGAATATAACGCCTGTTTAGTTGATAAATTTACTAAACAAAACTTATTTTGTAATCATTGTCAATATGTGTATTTAATTTTAAGTATTTTTTCTAGATTTATGAAGTAGTATATAATGTATCTCAGGTTGATGATAGGTTTTGGTGAAACAGCCTCTCCCCTTTTACTCATTTTCTGTCTAATGGTAGTTCAGACATGATTACAGGAGTATTAGATACCAAGCTTAGTCATACTTGTACATCTTCGCTAAAGACAGGCCTTCACTTACTGTGCCTTTTTATTTTTATAATGACTTTTTCCTTTATAAGCTTTGATCCTGAGAAGCTAACAAACATATAAATCCTCACACTGGAATTGATGCTGATATTATAAAGATAAATGTGTTCTGTTTTGGGAAAATAATTTTGGACAAAAGAATTTAAGACTGTCTAACCCAAATTGTATCTAGCAGTTGATGATAAACTTTGCTTATCTGTTACCGAATGCGGTCTCCATTTCCCTCAGTCAATAAAAGGAAACAGAATTTGAAGAAAAGGAAAGTGGTTTTATTTGTGGACAAATGAGGAGGGCAGCAGACTCATGTCCGAAAGACCACCCTCCTGCTCTTTGGCAAGTTACAGGGCTATTTATACAATGTTCAATCAAGTAAAAGGGGAGATGGCCAGAGTCCGCAAAGGGGAGGGACTGAAAGTTAGTGCTGGGATGGGACCAATGGACTCCAGCCTTTATTTACACAAAGACAAAAATGGGGAATCAGCAAGAGTAATGGGGAGGGGGCAGGGGGCAGCACAGGGAGGAGAGGAGTTGGTGCCAGCAAGCTTGCTCACTATTGCTTTTGTTTGGGATTCCTTTCCTTGACCCAACCTGTCAAGAGAAGAGAAACTGCAAGGAAAGGAGAGGAAAAGTAAACCCACAGTCAGTTAAGAGCTCTGGGAAAACCAATTCCATCATAAATTTGTCAAAGGAGGCAAATATGCAAATGCTTATTGGAGAGCCCATTTACTGCATCATTATCCTCTTAAGTTACCAGGAATTTTAAAAAATCTGAAATTTTTAATGGACTGAAGGAAGGTTCAGGTGATACCCTTTAAAAAAGAAATCCAGACTCTTTCTTTATATACTAACACTAAACAACTCTAACAATAAACAACTCTAACTTCTGGTAATGAATTCATTTCCTAAAGTCAGCTATTTGGTGTTCAGAACAAATTTGTTTATACTTATCTTCCTGCACCATGACCTAATTTTACTAACACTCAGTATTTTGAGATTTTACTGACTGTCAAATCAGTGCAATGTGTTTAATTTGTCATAAATCTTCACCTTGAGGATATATTTCTTTTAAATTTTACAGAGGCTACATTAGGAGAGAGAAAGCAAACATTGTACCAAAATGAACAATTTTACAGAATACATAAAAATAAATGAATTAAATATAAAAGATTCAATATAGCTCATTGTCAGTATTGCATAAGTAATGCAAAAGGCATTTTAGTCAATTTTGTGTCTTGGGGAAATATGAAAGAATGGTAAAACATTGAGAAAGAAATTAATAAATAGATAAGCTCAATTTTACTTCTATTAAAAATGAAGTTTTCATAAATAGATGTTGAAAATTATAATAGTAATTCTTACTAGTATCCTTTTTTTTTAAAGATTTATTTATTTGTACATACAGAACTGGGGTACAGGCCAGAGGCTCAGGGGCGGCGAGAGGCTTCACCAGAGACAGGGTGGGGCGCAGAACAGGCAGATGGACGAAGTACACTGCTGAGGGGAGCAGCGGGCGGGTCAGGAGAGGTCTGCCACACCATGTGGTCACCTCTGGGGCAGGCGGGAATCAAACTCATGCGGAAGTGGCTTTAGCTTCTCAGTGCAGTGCTTTAACCCGCTGCGCCACCAGGGAGGGCCACTAGTATCCTTTTAAGGAGGTTTACATACTCTTTATTGTGAGGGTAAAAATTATCTCATACTTGTTAGGCACTTTTGTTCAACACTTCAACTTTTGGGGAAAGATTATATACCATTTTACCATTTGATCTATGATGCCATCTTAGCATGTTATTATAATGTTATTTCATCATATCTGTTGTAGCAGATTTCTAAGACTGATGTCATAGTATACCAAAGATTAGGTGGCTTCCACATCAGTTCTTTTCTCTCTGTGAAGACTAGAAGCTCTAAATCAAGGAGTTGGGATGCTTCCTCTGAAGGAAAGAATCTTACTTTGCTATCTCTCTAGCTTTTGGTGCAATTTCTGGCATTTCTTGATTTGTAACTGTATCTAATTTCTGTCTCTCTGGACACATGTTGTACCTGTTTATCCAAGTTTCTTTTTCCTTATAAAGATCTAGCATTGTATTTACTGCTTCTGCTAATCCAGTATGATCTCATACAAAGACCAACATCCACATAAGTTGACACAGGTGCTGGGGTTAGGACTTCCATATATCATATATATTGGGGGGGGCACTTTAACTTATTACACCTATTTTGTTTAATAACCAGTAACTTAATAGTTGTAAATTTTTTTTTAAAGATTTATTTATTTATTCATACAGAACTGGGGTACAGGCCAGACGCTCAGGGGCGGTGAGAGGCTTCACCAGAGACAGAGTGGGGAGCAGAACAGGCAGATCTACGAAGTACACTGCTGAGGGGAGCAGCGGGCGGGTCAGGAGAGGTCTGGCTCGCCATGTGGTCTCCTCCGGGGCAGGCGGGAATTGAACTCATCCGGAAGTGGCTTCAGATTCTCAGTGCTGTGCTTTAACCCGCTGCGCCACCAGGGAGGGCCATGTAAATTATTTTTAAATAAGATTTACTTATGCATAGAAACTGGAGTAAAGTGGGGAGCAGGACAGACAGACTGATGAAGTACACTGCTGAGGGGAGCAGTGGGCGGGTCGGGAGAGGTCTGCCATGCCATGTTGGTCACCTCTGGGGCGGGGATTGAACTCATGCTGAAGTGTCTTTAGCTTCTTTGTGCTGTGCTTTAACTCGCTGCACCAACAGGGAGGGCCGGTGCAAGGCATCCTTTATGCATTTCTCCCTATGTTCTATATGTTCACATATCTTTATAATGTTTTATATCTTAATTATCCTTTTGACTTAGTTATATTTAAAATTATAATATATTGAAAATAATAACCATACAGTCTTGTAACTTACTTTTTAAATGTTAATGAATTACTCCATTGAGAAAATTACTGTGAAATAAAGAAAAGACTTCATTCTATTTTAATTATTATTCTTATTATTTTATGCTTGCTTATATTTTTCATAAAACACTGGTGTATAGTCCTTGCTTATAAAGTTTATTAATGCTTAGAAGTGGGGTAATGGGAACACAAAGTGCTCCGTAAATGTTGTTTTCCTATGTTTTAGAATATAGTTCTACTAAAGCCCACTTGATAGTCTCACCTACAAATGATTTTTTTGACATGAACACATTTAATAACAGCTAGTTTTGTCACCTCAAAGCTGTATATTAAGTTGCCTGAAAGATTGTGTTGACTGAAATAGCACAATTCCTATTGGAAAAGGCATGGGAAAAAGTAAAGTATTGCTACTTAAAATTCATATTCTTTTATTAATTAGTATGCCATTTTTCTCTGAAATGCTAATAGATTCATTAGTTGTGAGTACTTTATAATGACTTTTACTCAAGTTTTATACATTTAAAGAAAATTTCTTATTATTTGAAATATCCTTTCCTAGCAGTGGCATTTGTTGGAACCATTTTAACTTTTTTTACACCTAAAAACATTTAAATTTTATTACCCCTCTATTATTACTTGTTTTCAACCCTAAGTGCATGGTAGAATCAGCTAGAGAGCTTTTACAAAACTACCAGTGCCTGGACACCATCAGGATATTATTCTGTATTGACATTTGAATTGATGAACATTTAGATTTTTGTTGTTCTTATTGTTAATATTCATTATTCTAATGAACAACCCAGATTATAGCCTGAAATTCTATTTTGTATGTTTTTTCTACTGTCTACTAAGTCATTGTTTAAAAATGACATGATACTTACTTTGGTATTTGGTAAGGTAACAGCTTATCTTTTTACTTCTGCTTTCAGGTCTGACCCTACACACACACACCTGCGCAAATACGTTGTATATACAAACTAGCACCAGATTGTCTTTTTTCACCCGTCTTTTATGACTTAGTTATGGGGGACCTTGTTATCTCTCATTATACATTGATTATTTTTGCTTTCTAGCTTTGAAAGTAAACTCAGTTTCAGCATTCTGTTCTATTCAATTGTTAGGTTTAAACATTTTTTACTTCAGTAAACCAAAATGCTTAAAATAGCATGAAAAGGACAACTGTAGCACTAACTAAGCTCTGTAGGTTACAGAGGCATTTGCTAACACACTGTTTTTGTTTTTGTTTTTCTCCCTTCCTGTCCCCCTTAAACCTTAGTGAAGCTGTGGTCTACCAACCTAGACAACTCAGTGGCCAGCATTGAGGCAAAGGCTAATGTGTGTTGTGTTAAATTCAGCCCCTCTTCTAGATACCATTTGGCTTTTGGCTGTGCAGGTAAGAAGTGAAAGATTTTTTCCTTGTCTCATAGTGGTTGATTATCATGAGTAACTGAATGAGTAACTTATTTTGAAATGAGTAACTATGTGTTGATTTAAATTTTGTTTTCATTATTGGACTCTGAATTAAAAAGATGCATTAAGTTACCATTACTTATTGTTGTACTTTAATTTCAGTATTCTGTTATCGATGTATAATAAGTAGAAACAGTTTTGGGTTTTTTTTTTGTTGTTGTTGTTGTTCTTATAAGTTTTTGCACTTACGGACTAATGCTTATTACTTATTCACACATTGTGTTATTTAAACAATTTATATTCATAAACACCAGAATTTTCTTTTTAATTAAAGAAAACCTATTAATATCTTTAATAATTTTTTGAGTTCTTATAACACATGAAATACCCATCTAGGGGCAGTCAATAAAGCAAAGTCTTGTGTCACAGAGTACTTGCTAATAATAGCAAAAAAATAATAGTTAATCTTTCTGAGTACTTGCTATATTAATATTTTAATAATGTATTTCATAAATGTACCAGCCATTGGCCATCATATAGAAAAAGGATATATAGATTCTGGGGATATTTAGATGCCAGATATGAACACCTTCAAAATTTCTCCATCTTAGAAAAGACCAACCTATTTTTAAAATGTTTTAGCTATGTAATTAGCTAATGAACCATGATTCTGATGCAGTCTTCAGTCCAATTATTTGAGGAACTTATTAGGAGTTAGAGCAAAATCTCTATATGTGAAGAAGGTTGCCACATAAAAACCTTTTGGGCTTTCAGTTGTTTTATTTGTTGAGACAGTCTTTTGCTGTTTTTCACCACTTGGTGTTGAATGCTTTTTTTAAAAAAACAAAAGAAAACAAAGGTGCCTTATCACCAGTACCAGGACTAGACCTGGTTAGGATGCATAGCACCACCTGGTGAAGGCTTCAGTCTCTTCTAAGTGTTTGTCCTTAAACTATAAAACTTTCTTTAGTTGTAGCATTTATTTTACCACTAAAAACAATATAGTCATATTCATGAGGCTGCTTGTTGAATATCACTTGAGATGATTAATTTGACTTAAGGAATTTACTGTACATTTTTTAAAATTACTTATGGAGTTAGTAGAAGATGATTTGTGAGTAAGGTACCTGCATATTACAGTTTCACGCCCTATTGCTCAGGCATGTGTGGATCCTAGTTGGGTAGTGATGCATCATGCTAATTTTTAAGTTTCCCTGCCTACATCCATTTAGATCTTTGGGGCAATAAATTCATTTATTGCTTTGTGCTTTTATTTCATTACACATTGCTCTTTCCTTTTTTGCCATAATGTAAAAAGATATCTAGGTTTGCTTTGTTTTTGTTTATTAGAATTTATCAAAATGAAAAGTATCTTTAGGTGGATTAAAATTTCACTAGGAATTTTATGGTTAATACTGTGTAAAAAGTCTTTGCATTTCATTTTAGGTTATTTGTAAATTATTCTTAACCTGAGATTATCTCAAGCCTACTTTTACCAGAAAAGAATGTTGGGTAAAGATGTTCAGTAGGTTTTTTTTGTTTTGCTTTGTTACACAACTACTGCATAACATTTTCATACTGAGTAGGAAAGGGTAGAGAACAAATTTTCAATTTATCTTTTCTAACACTATTATAAGACTAACAAATAGAACTCTTAGCAATCTGTGGTTTTAATAGAAACCTAGAATTCCTTACACTCTAATGTGAAGTATCTTAAAATTTCATAAACTACATTTGTGTAACAGATAAGAATTATGGAGTACTCTTAAGGTATTCTTATGATTCAGGAGTGGAATTTATGCAAATATATTTTCTGGGGAATAATATTGTTCCTAGAACACAGGAATTCTGAAATAGAATATCTAACTGCTTTACTATTTTTAGTTTGGGTTACTATAAACTCTTTTTTACTCTCAGTAAACTAAGCAGCTTACAAACAAATACACAGACCAATTGCCTTTTCCATTTCCAATACATTCTAAACTTTGTGATTTAGCAAATGACAACTCAGTCTTCAAAAAGACAAATCTTTGTCTTTGTTATTTTGATTGGCTAGTTTATTTTTAAATATCAGTATTACACCCTTTATTCAAAGCTTTCAGTGGCTTCTCATTGTATAATTATAGGTTTCTGTTCTGTAGTCTCTATGATCACTTCCAATATTCATATATTCATATATGTGATTTATGTTTACTTTTTGAAAATCTTTACTCAAAAATTTTTATAAATCTTCTATAAAAATTTGACTCTCAGTAAAGATAGACTATTTTGCAAGGCATCTTCCGTTTAAAAATATTTATGTACTTATTTAAAGATTGTCTCTAATTACACAAATAGTATGAGATTACATCTTTCTGCCATATATTAAAAAGTTTAAGTTCTCCTTGATCATGCTTTATTCAGCTCCCTCCTTTCAGGTACTAGTACTGCTAATTTTTCAAGTTATCTTTAGATGGGTATGTATATAGCATTTCTTAAGTAGATGAGCCAATAAGTATTTTTTTAGGGCAATGTTCTTTTAAAAATTGTGTGCCCATTAAAACATCAACACCTACATCATATAAAACATAAAATTTTAAAATATCTAAGGACCTCTGAAGTCAAACCCTACTCCCAACATGATAATTACTAAATTATAATTAATTCTTTTCCATTAATATTTAAGAAGGTGGTATTTAAGGAGCTGTGATGCATGATTAATTTTTACAATTAGTATTGAGAACTTGAGTGAGGTAAATGAGAATTTTGCTATGTTTTTCCAGCTTTTCCATTCCACGTGAATGGGAAACATTTTAGGCTTGTTAATTTTATAAATCTACCTTTTAATTTTATATACAACAGTTGCTAGAGGGGATGATATCTTTCCTTTTCGCATTTAAATGAATTAACTGCTATTTACTAAATAAATAGCACTCATGCACCTGTATCAGTTATCTATTACACATATATAATAGGGAAAAATGAACATCAAGAACATTATATGTTCAAATTTCCATGTAATTTGATGACTTTAAATGGAGTGTCATATATAATGACAGCATTTAAAAACCATGCTATAAAATCTTTTTAAAGTGGTAGAATCTAAAAGTACCCTTGGAATGCCTAGTAAATTACCTGTGTATGTCTTTCTTGCCTTCCAGGCCTTAGTAGGACTCTAGCTACAGTGTTGGAAAATTAAACTTTACAAGAAATTTTATTTCTGTATTAAATGTAGAGATTTATAAACTTTAATATTGCATATATTATTCTGCTGTTACTAATGTCATGGCATGATCACCATTGAATTTTTAAAACTAATACTAGTTTTTTAACTGTAAACAATTGGGAATGATGTGATCCATGATATGATCTCTTAGGTAAATTATTAAAATGAGAGGGCCAAAGTATAAAATTCAAACTTTTTTTTAGGGTGGTGTGGAAGGAATAGAATTTTTGTTTAGTCCAAAAGAAACAGGGATGAAAAGGGGAAAGGACATAAAAATTGGGGATAATTTAAAATTGAAAACAAGCTAATAAATAGAATGTCAAGCATATCTAACTATTATAAATGGAAATGGCTTTATGACCTAGGTGTAAGAAGCAAGTTTTTGACAAACCTAGTTAATTTCAAAATGCAGTATGTTCTTTCAACAGTTGTACTTAAAACAAGGCTAAGGAAACTTGAATGAAACTATATTTTGGCATCAAGTGGATAAATTGATGGAGCAGAATTACATGGATTTTTGATAGCTAATAAAGATTTTTTTGAGTAGGAGTTAGAAAAATAAGGCATTTTCATATTTGGATAATTGATACAGAAAAACAGCATTGTAACTCTGCCACACTCTGTACATAAAATCAATTCCAGGTGACTGACTAAATGTAAACAAAACTATAAAACATAAGAGAGGATATCAACATGATCTTGGCAGTAGACAAGGCTTTAATATGCAAAACATATAAACTAAATGAAAGATGAATAATTTTTAACAACCATATAAATGAAAACTTCTGTTCATTAAATAATATCCAAAGTAATGTTTGATTCATTAATTATGGGAATATAATTAGAACACAAAGGTAACTATTAGTATATAAATTATATAAAGGGAACTCTTAAAAATGTGATAAATATACTCTATAGTGTTGCTATATAGTCTATGCAATGAGAGCATCAGCATCACCTAGTAACTTGTAAAAATGCACATTCTGTATCTACTAAATCAGAATTTGTGAAGGTTGACCCAAGGAACAGTTTTTTACCAGTGCCAAAGGTGATTCTTATGTACTCAGAAATTTGAGAAGCCATGACCTACAAAAATGAATATTTAAATAATAATATACAATGGGCATTGCTTGTACATTCATACCATAAATGTATTCAGCAGTAAATAATGAACTACAACTCCATGAATTCATGTGGGTGAGTTATAAGCATAAATGTTGAGTAAAAGAAAGTCACAGAAGAATGTGCAATATAATTCTACTTAGGAACATGCAAAAAAAAACAATGATACTACTACTTAGGGACCTATATGTGTTTTTGTATAATCAAACTATAAAGCAAAGAGAAAAAATAGTTAGTATAATTTCAGATATAGTGATTAACTCTAAGAAGGAGAAAAGGACAATATGATGTACGAGAGGCTTTTAGGTATAGAGTCTATAGATGCGAGCTATTTTTCCAAGTCAGAATGTTTTTTTTTTTAAAGATTTATTTATTTATTCATACAGAACTGGGGTACAGGTCAGAGATGTGGAGGGTGATAGGATTCACCAGAACTAGAACGGGGAGCAAAACAGGCAGATTGACGAAGTACACTGCTGAGGGGAGCAGCGAGCGGGCCAGGAGGTCTGCCGTGCCATGTGGTCACCTCCAGGGCAGGCGGGGATAGAACTCATGTGGAAGTACTTTAGCTTCTTAGTGCTGTGCTTTAACCCGCTGCGCCACTAGGGAGAGCCAGAATTTTTTTTTTTTTAAGTGAAAATTAAACTTAGACAAAT